TAGCAGGGTCTACATGGCCAGTTAACGTGTGGGTGGCAGGCGTGCTATACTTCTCACACTTTGCTATGCTCTAACTACCTATGTAGACAAGCCCTGTGTCATTCCAAGCCATCCAAGCTGTGGAAGACTAAGAACGCTAGCCTCATGAAGGGCTAACCTGCTATGGAAATGACTTTACTTTTCCCCCGGACCACCATCTCTTCACTGTTGCACAGGGTGCCCCATGTGTCACACCAAGCACAGGATGTGATTATAGGACCAGATCCGAAACCCATTGAACTCGATAGGAGCTTTTTGATTGATTTCAATTGGATTCAGATGAGGCTTCCATGATATGGCCACCCCAAACTCAGCCCCGCTTTTGCTCTTTCACATTAGAAAGCCCTGGGAACCTCCTCAGCTGAGATCTGGGGACTGGGTATGTCCCCAAATGAACAAAGTGAATCAATTTCAAACAAAGAGGAAAATACCTTTAATGTTTTTATGGTATTCCTTTACTTATTGGTTAATTCACAACACTTAGTAGTTCACCGTGGGTCTCCCAGTCAGCAAAGTGAAGTAGCAAGGTTCTGCTGTAGCAGATACATTACTTTCGTGTATACAAGGAAACTATTGTCATGAAATTAAAGGATCCAATGAATTTTTAAGATCTGAAAGCTGCATGGTTTATGAAGATGCCGTGGGGAAGGTGAGACAGTTGGTCCCTCTACTTCCACAGGATCTCTGGAACATCTTCCGTATGATCGGAGCTCAGCATGCTATTTTGTGCACATATGTTTTTTCTCTCAGAGAAAAAAGCTTTGTCAGGACAAGCTGATGGATCTTTCTTAAATAATTATTACTTTTATTAAAAGAACGGTTAATATTTCCAGCAAATAGAGCTAGAAAAAGATGGGCTTTTTGATTTATACACAAACAAATACACTCCTTTGACTAAACTCTGCACTGCGATGCTGTAATTACATTCCTGCCAAACATCAGGGACAAGCAATCTGGGTTTTGTGTAGGTGTGAGACAGGAAGCAATTACCAGCCACAGTCATAAAGGATATAAAAGAAATCACGCTTTCCTTTTCAAACCATACAATTAATGCCATATTCCCTATCTAATATCATCCCCTCTAATGCTGTTTTGGATAACTCCACTCTCATGTAGTTAAAGGGAAAGTAATTGTATATAGTTGCAAGAATAGTGGCTGTTGTATTGACATGAATTTTTCTTTGCAACATTTTGGACTTCGTTTTATTTAGAACAATCTGCAACAGAATCATAGAAATGTAGGACTGGAAGGGATCTGAAGAGGTCATCTAGCTCAGTCCCCTGAATTGAGCCAGGACGAAGTATTATCAAGACCATCCCTGAGAGGTGTTTGTCTGACCTGTTCTTAAAAACTTCCAATGACAGAGATTCCACAACCTCCCTAGGCAATTTGTTCCAGTGCTTTAATGGAATGGGTGATCATTTTGATTTCAGGTCTTTCCCCCCTACCCCATTCAGACTTATTCTTTCAGAAATTAAAAATGGCAATTCATTAATTATAAGATGTCCCAGGGATGTCCCAGGAAAGAGTTTTGAAAATACTTTATAATAGGGAAAAGGGCTAGTAAAAAAGTTAAAGTTCAGGGGAGTTCCAAGGCAAGTTTTGTTAAGCTTCTATAGCTCACCAGTGGGCTCTGCAATTTAACATCTGTATAGCACTCCAACGCATGTGTTTTTAATATAAGCACACCACTTAGCATTGAAATGCAACCACCTCTGGGATGAAACAAAACAACTACCCTTTTCCCTCTCCCCCACTCAGTACTCCATAGTTCTCCCTCCTCTCTTGGTTTCCCACCTCTTGCAGTTCCCCTCCCTCATTAGGGCATTCAGGTTTTAGCAATGTCTTTGCAAGCCCTGTCATGTGCTCTGCTCTGCCTCCCTGCTTCCACCAGTGAGTTCAGCTCCATCACAAGTGCAGCCACCTGTTACCAGCCTAAGGGATCTATGCTCAATAACAAGCACCCACTAGGCTGGGAAGTGAAGCCTGGGGACCAGCAGGGGCAATACTAAATGCTACAAAGACAATGAGTCAGTCGGGGAGCCTTTGTGGGTATGTCTACACACACTCACGGAAGCTGACTCAGGCTTGCCGGGCTCGGGCTTCAGGCTGCTTATTGCAATGTAAACTTCCAGGCTCAGGCTGGAGCCCAGGCACTAGGACCCTGTGAGGTGGGAGGGTCCCAGAGCTCAGTCTCCAACCTGAGCCCAGAAGTCTACACAGCAATGAAACAGCCCCGCAGCCCGAGCCCCGCGAGTCCGAGTTGGCTGGCACAGGCCAGCCATGGGGTTTTCTCTGCTGTGGAGTCACACACCTGAGGCAGCGGGGGTGGGAGGGACTTTCTCCCCCTCTTAGCCATTGAGTGGAAGACAAAGAGAGGAAGAGCTAGCATTAAGCTGGCGACATCATTGTGCTGTAGAGTTGATTATAGTGGGCAGCCGGGGTATTTAAGGAAGTTGCCTGTAGTGGCAGAACTGGCTCCGGGTGCACATAATTCACCACTGCTGATCCAAGTACTGGCCTAGGCTAGTCCTGCTTAGCTTTAGAGGCCTGCTGTGGTCAGAGCTCTAATACTGAGGCAGATTGGGTGGGGAAAATATCTTAGGTACCAACAGACCACAGAACGCGCCCAGGGTTCGGAGTTACTCAAAGTTCATTGAACTGATTTGGCCCTTCTCTTGTTTATATACCATTGTTTTAAAGTGACATGTTATCAGACAGCCTCAGATCACCTCTCACTTGTGATATCTTAGACTAGAGAGCTTTCTATTTATGACTGTTCTGTTTCCTGCTCTCAAGGGGCCGCTTCCAACTTGTGTACACCTTGAGTCTGATTTGCCTCAAGAGTGATTTTTTTATTTGAGTCATTAACCTTTGTACTGCCAGTTTCACCCCCGCTCTGCTCCCTTCTGCCAACCTGGTTCTTTTAAAAATCAGTCTTTTGAGTGGGGAGAAACTTGTCTGTAAATGGTCCAGACTTGTGTGTGAGAGTAACCTGCTAAAACCATGCATCTGCACTCACTGCAGGGAGTCATGCAAGGACGTAGGATAAGGAATATGCCACTATGTTGTATTTTTGTTTGTGGGGGGGGAAAGGAGCACAAAGATTTTTAAATTATAATCCTAAACTTAGATCCCTAAATCCATATTTAGACTCCAAAATAAGTGGCCTAATTTTTTAAAAGTGAGCAACCCAGTAGCTATCATTGACCTTAGTAGAAGCTGTTGAGTTCTCAGCACTTTTGAAAATCAAATCACTTATTTAGATGCTTAAAAGGGGGTTTATAGGGCTCACTTTAGACTCTGATTTTCTTATATCTTAGCACTGGGGATTCTGTTTGTCAGAAGCTGGGAATGGGCAACAGGATGGATCACTTGATGATTACCTGTTCTGTTCATTCCCTCTGGGGCACCTGGCACTGGCCACTGTCAGAAGACATGATACTGGGCTAGATGGATCTTTTGTCTGACCAGTATGGCAGTTCTTATGTTTTCTTATTAAGCACCCTCTAGATTTCTGTATGGGTCTGATCTAACTTGCACTGAAGTCAGTGGGAGTCGACTCAGGCCCTAAGTACACTGGCTATGTAAATGATCATATTCTGAGTAAAGGCACACATGCGTTAGGAGATCAGAATTAGTCCTAGGGAGGTTCAATCAGTAGTGAATGACAATCAGGAACCTCTCACTGTTGAACCACATTGGTGGGGTCCTGTGGGGAAGTTTACACTGCCACAGCCCAGGATGTATTTTCAATTGCAGTGTTGTTGAAGCCATGTTAGTCCATGGATATTAGAGACAAGGTGGGTGAGGTAATATCTTTTATTGGACCAACTTCTGTTGGTGAGAGAAACAAGTTTCTGAGCTACACAAAGGTCTTCTTTACGTCAGAAGTTGGTCCATTAAAAGATATTACCTCACCCACCTTGTCTCAGGACGTATTTGTTCTATTGATAAATACAAGATGCCAGTCTCCAGGATGGTCAGGAAGACACCTTTCATACGCGTATGCACTCTCTAAAAACATCACTGCACACCTATGCTTCTTTCATTTGATCAACCTTGTCACAGAAAATGGCTGTAAGTTGATTCCACCAGATGCGGACACAGAAGCACCACATCATTACAGACTCCAGAAATGCCTCTTTGCAATAATGCTGTCATAAATTGCTTGAAAAAGGGGGAGACTGCAGGTTCAGAGAGGCAGTCCCCTTCCCTTCAGCTAGCTACGCTGTGTGCATTTTTATTTTCAGTTTACACTGATGGTGGGAATATGCGTTCATTGGGATTTCAAACAGCTGGATTCTGGGTTTGAATGCAGGCTCACAACGTTCAATCCAGAGGTATTTGTAGTTTATATAAACAGAATAAATAAATAAATAAATAAATAAAGTAAATATACTTTGAAGCAGGCCCTAAAGTTTTTGAGCCTTTCTCTATATAAAGTACTCTTTTGTTGCCATCTGATTTCCCGATGGCACTATATTAGCTAATGAAATGCCAAGCAGGCCCTTCAACATGGCAGTGTTTGAGTTCTGGTAAGGAACCAATAGCTGCACTTTTCTCTACAGGACTCTGTATGCAGCTTTGGAAAGAGCCTGAGGCATTGGACTCGAAACAGAGTCAGTTCAGAGTGTTTGTGAGCAGGAAAGAGAAACAGATGCACCCACAGAGTGATATCACCCAGAAAGCACCCAAATGAATAATCAGTGTTAAAAAGTTAAGGGGAAAATCATATTTAAGCTGTTTCCCCGACCACATGTAATTAGTGCTTGCCTTTCGTCATTCATTACAATCTTTAGCTTCCTGTATTTGAGTACATAATGTTATCATCTCTTTCCAGAAACGGTTTAGACAAATTCTTCTTGGAAATCCTTCCCACGCATGTATATTTTGGTGTCCTTTATTTCCCAGGCAGTCAGTCAGACCTTACTGACAGCAACAGAATGTTGTAGTTAGGGATGGCTCGTTCAGCGTCCCTCCACCCATCCGTTCCATACTGCCATGGGAGGAGACTATCTAACGTGGTGTGTTGCGATTTTGAAAGATCAGAAAATGGTTTCGAAATCACAGTTAGCGTAAATGTGCATCTTAAACAAAAATGCACTTTTAAAAGAATTGAAACCAAAATGAAAACTCAAAAGATTTCTCAAGTCCCAGCAGTCCTCTGTTGACAAGCTGAAGCAGAAGCATTCCTAAAGCCACTCTGCTTATAGGTTGTTTTAAATTTTTTTATAAACAATAGCTCACAATCAAAGGCCCCGATTCTGCAATCAGATCCATGTGGATGGCTGCTTCTACTAATGCGAAGACCCACAGATGTCAATGGGGCTCATTCCACATGATCTGACTACAAGAACAGGGAATGAATGGTGGGTCTGACAGAGAAGTAGTTTTCATTACTCTTCTAGTGGGACATACCTCAGGTTCACTGATCCATGTTTCATGTTAAAATGATTGATAACTATCTCCTTCAATTAAGGGATATTACTTTTAAAAATGCTTTATTGTTGATTTTTTTCCATCTCTATTTCATTCTTTATAGTGATGGTGAATGGGACCTGATTCTCCACTGCCTTGTGCCTTGTGTAGTTGTTTACTCCTGCATGGTGAGGGCAAATGGGTGAGAGACAGATGTTTCTGCAGAGGACAGGCTGTGAATAGGGGACTCTAGACTGGGACACCTCCCAGGAGGTGCTGCTCCTGCATCATCCGCTGGTCTAACTCAGGACCTGCTGCTTCCACTGAAGATTCCTTTTCACGGTGAGTCCTTTTCATGTTAGCATCACCAGGTAAGAATGGAGAGCAGCACTCCCCCAAGCCCTTCTACACTGAGCAGAGAATGAGGAGCTGTGCTGCCCAGAATTCCTACTTTAGCCAATGGTACTATGTCCACCTGTAAGTGGATCATTCACACCACTCCTCCCGCGAATTCCCCTTCACATATTGCCCACAGTAATGAATAGAATCTGCTTTTGATATTCCAATAGCGTCAGTTCTTCCCTGAGCAGTGCTAAATGAGTCACCAGGAGGAAAGACAGCGAGTTGCTCTGTGCCTGAACCAGAAGCACTGAGCGCTTGGGCACTCCAGAACACAGGGATTTATTGTCTCCGATAAAATGCAAGTTTTACCTGCTCCATTGTTCTGCTTGTCTGAGGCTGGCGTGTAGCAGTCTGAGGCATGAAGAAGTTTAGCTATTAGTTCAGTTGTTGTGAGGTTTAATCCAAAAGCCAAGAGATATTTTGTGGTGAAGATTTCTTTTCTTTTTTTTTTTAATCTTTCTTTTTTCAAGTCTTGGCTGGGTGCCCCCTTTCTTCCCTCCCCCCTGAGTGTAGATTTGCTAGAGAACTTTAGCTGGGTGGTGATAATGAACAATGGTGTTGCATGAGCAAAACACCCCGACTAGCAGGAGTGGTGGAGATATTACATTGCCAAAGAGGCAGGGCTTTAGCCATTAGCTTAGTAATCACATGGCCTTGGATGTTTTGGCTCCAAGCATCAGCAGAAGCTCTCGTTAAAAGGTAGCTCTGTAGTGTAATCTTAATTATGGTTCATCCACAGTCATCTACCCAGAGTCCTCCTAACTAGGTCATTCATATAGCCTGTTCTACAGAGATTACAGCTGAATGGTAAATTAACCATATTACAGAATGATTTTACACCCTGTGTCTGGACTCATTGTAGGTACCACATGAATACCTAAAATAGATTACAAGAGCAAAACACATAACCCAAATGGGTACATGCAAATAGGCAGACTGCAGTGACTCCTGCTTCGTAAGAAAAGCATTATTCTCCCAGGAGAAAAAAATGTTTTGTTTTGTTTAATTCACTGAATTAAGATAAACCAAAGGGGAAGTGGAGACTAGTCAGCTGATGTTGCAGATATGGGCTGGGAAGAGTCTTTGACCTTGTTCTGTGGTAGAATATTTCACTGTAGAAAGGAACAGCTTCTTGGCTGAGCAGCTGCCGTCCGGAGGTGTTTTTATTGGCCAACAAGTCAGAAAGGAATGAGGCATGCCTGGAGAAAGTAGAGCTTTGCCAGCTTTAATCCCTGCTTTTTTATTAGATCTAAACCTGAACCAACTGAGTTTCAAATGTTCAGTAAAAACCCACTGGTCTAATTTGCTCAGCAGGTTCTAGCTCCATCCTTATAGTCTCCCTAGGTGTGTCAGTTTCAAATGCCACGGTGTACAAGAATAAACAGAAGCAAGCATAGCTTGTTCTTATTATTTCTGTTTCCTGCATGTTTCCAGTTTCCTTGGGTGGCAGCACTTAGGAAAACAACGCAGTCTTGGGATGTTCTTATTTTCAGCTCTACAGTTAAGCTCCCAAGGAAGGCAAATAAACAGCTAACATTTTAGGACATAAAGTTGATTAAAAATAGACACTGCAGGGCTAGAGAAATACAGCTGCTCAACACAGCTTCCAGAGGTGAACCAGGAGACCCAGGCACACACTCTGACCTAAAGAACTCTAATGACAAGGTTTATTTTATGCTGAAATACACTTGATGATATATATGGCCAGACAGTAAAATATATTGTCTGACTTCAAGATATCTGTGGGTTGTGTTGGATGCAGGGTCTGATCCTCTGAGGTGCTGAGCACCCTCAATCCCACTGAAGTCAATGGGAGTTCAAGGCACTCAGTACCTCACAGAATTGGGCCCTTAGTGAAGATCAGTATCAATTTCTCTTTCTAGCCTAAATGTTAAGCTATGTAACTGCTGTATGAGAGGGTATATGACCCATGTGGGTAGGTGACTGTGGCTGTCCAGATAAAGCCAAAGCCTCCCTCTCCAAACCATCTTTCTTGTCAGGAGGACTGTAGGATTTGGAACCAGCCAGGCAAGGGATTAAGTGCAAGTGCAGCTGAGACTTGTTGACCTAGAAGCTCTAGCTTATACATATCAGAGGTGGAAAAGGAGAAGCATTACCCAATAGTGGAGAGGCTGGACTTAATTTAGGGAGTTTTGTTTGGATTTCAAAGCAGTGAGGCTGGCTTCTGTTGGACCATCCTTCTGTCCCAGAAAGGGGAGGCTTTTTATTTGGATCTTATTTATAATCTGAAAAAGGGGATAAGCTAGAGCCTTTGTTTCTCTTTGGGGAGTGGGGTAATTGCCCCATCAGGGAGAAAGAGCCCAACCTGTGATATTCAGCATAATTGAGGTTACACTGATTGGCTGAAAACCCCTGATTCCATCTCTGTTATGTTCTCCAAAGGCATCAATACCATGGATCTCCCACAAGTCCCTTCCAAAAGCTGTGGTGGTGGTGGTGAGTGACTTCTCATTTCTTAAAACAAAATCTAGAAGATGTGATGCTATGAACTTTTTGGAAAGAGTCTGTTGCTCTCTAACATGGAAGCACTATACCTGCTACACTTTGAGTCTATTTGAAATTGCCAGTTTGTCCTGCTTTGGGTGAATCTGGTGGCAGGTGAAGGAGGTCCTTAACATACTTTAAGGTGAGTTCCTAATTCCTCACTTTGTATCCTTATCAGAATAAGCAATAACATTGCCTCCCAGTCTTTCATCACAAGGAATGTCTCTCTTATGAGAGCTTTGTCCTCTAACACATTTTATGAAAAGTACATTACATTCCCTTAAAGAACAAGCTTGGTGTGGTGGCTAGAAGTAATAGCATGCACAATTTGGGAGGCAGCCTGGCCCAGCTGCTGTTATAAAAGGTAACTTGCTCCCAATGGTTCCTCTTTATATAATAATTTTAATTTCTAAGTTACGCAATTCCCTGTATTCTGATTAGCTGATGGGTTATAATTGCAGTTGTTTCTTAAGCAGACAGTGTGCGAATTGCTGCAATCTGTGTGAGAAACCGCCAATAATGCATCGATTTGCATGGTTATTTTACAATAACCTTAATATGCAAATTGTACTGCTCCAATTGGGTACTGAACATCCCTGTGTTCTAACTGGCTACTGCCCAGCAATATCTCAACAATAAATATGACTGCCTCAATGTGTCATCCCTCCTTTGTTGTTTCATCTAACTCCATATTTTAAGTAACAATTGTAATAAAGCAGGAGTGATGGTTCTTCTGCCTGGGTCAAGCAGTTGCAAAAGGTGGGTGAGCCTGGATGGTCTAGTGAGAAGATAGGGTTTGATGGTGACATTAAAAGGGAGCTAGAAGATGAGTGAGCTGCATTCAGGCATACACAGGAGCAAGCCAAGATACTGCTACATTCAGGCTGCGTCCCTTCCTCCAAATCTACTGTGCTCTCTCATCAAACATTCCCTAAAAGAAGATAACTCTAAGTTCCTATAGATAATCATACAATAGTATCTGTTACTGGGAAGCTATCTAGTGTAACTAGAGGCTGATCTAGCTATCAGCAAGCTAGGCAGATGCCTAGGGTGGCAGATTTCTGGGCAGCTGCCTAGAGCAACAGATTTGGCCTGGCTGCTCCTCTGTCATGATGGAAGGGTGGTTGGTCCAAACGTGAGTGGTAATGCAATCCTGTGTGCCAGGTTGTAATGCTAATCACTCAGATTTGGCCTGGCCGCACCCCATTATGAGGGGGGTGGGGTGGGCATCTGGGCCAAATTTCAATGGCATGGGCGGGGCGGGGTGGGGAGCCTGAAGCAGTGCCTAGGGCAGCGGTTTGCCTTGAGCAGGCTCTGAATGTAACAATGCAGTCAGGAGTCATGCTTTTAGTGGATATTTAAATGGGAAAGTTTGAGGGCAATAGTGAACCACAGCAGTGGCATTATTAGCCAAACAGAAGGCACGAGTAAAGGAATGGAGAATACAGTTTTGTATCACAACCCAAGACTGCTCACTGTCAATATGGTGGTAACTGTGTCATGGCCGCAAGCTCTAAGACTGAAGGAAAGGGGGTTTATTTAATCTTAGATGTGATGACTACCTCATAAACAGGAAAACCCCTCAAGTTATCACCAAGGTGTACATTTTATTTTCTTGAGAGAGAGCCACAGTTCTGATACTCTGGCTCGTGTTCAGTATTTGGGCCCACGGCTGGTATTTTAATCTGCATTCCTTTTGAAATTTAGTCTGAACAAGGTGGTTTTCTGGAGTAATGGTCGCAGGACGGGGCCTCAAACTTGGACTTTTTTATATTCACTTCCATTGTTTGTTCTATTTTTGAGTAATATGCCTTTCTGGTTAATGGCTTTTGCTATTTACTGACACTCATCTAATATAAACTTCTTGTACTGGTAAATCCTATCAGTGGTGGAAGTAGCGTAACTTTATTATTATTATTTTTCATTTTATTTTAGGCTGGGTGGGGGAGGAACAGGATTTGTGGGGTGTGTGCTAGGCTGTGCTCAACAGGGGCAATTTGTACACCACCATGCAGTAGCAGTTCGTTGGCAGCCCTGGGGACTGACAGGGCAGGTGGAACCTGTGGCACCACTGGCCTTTCCATCATCCGAACACAGTTGAAGGCAGACTGGATGTTTGGTGATCCCGGAGTTGGTAGTAAGTTCCATAGAACAGTTTCACTACAGATCTATGGTCTGGGAGGAATGATTCACAGTACACAACCTGGCTGCTTGGATTGTGTGCTAAAGGCAAGATCTGGGTCAGGCTCACAATCTTTCTACATCTTTCTTATGGTTAATATCTAGCACTGCTCAGGGGCTTTCAATCATTCTGTTGTTACTGGTCATATTTTTAAACTCTTACATTTAATTCCTGTGTCCACACTGTATGAACTTCAGATACCAGGACTCTGACATTAAACTGTGCAACTAAACAGTGCAGTAACCAGTTCTTGGTTTTGCTTTTTCACGCAGGTTAAAGGCAAGAGTTTTAATTAGTATTAAGTAGGAATTGGAGCCACTCAGTCATAACAACCATATTATTTATTTCAGCAGTCATTTTGAACCAAGTGGCATGCCATTCAATGTTCTATTTATTATAGGAACATAGATGTGTAAATATTTATTAAATTCACCAAAAAGAAAAGCAAGAGATAAAAACTTGGCGGTGATATAACTAGTGTAAATGTTTTGTTGGAGTGAGTGCATTCTTATATCCTGGAGGTCAATTGCTATTAGCAACAGGATCTGATGAATAAAACACTGACATCTTAGGCTTGGTCTACACTAAACCCCCAAATCGAACTAAGGTACGCAACTTCAGCTACGTGAATAACGTAGCT